GATCATGAATACCTCACATCATACAAAATAAACTTCAGATGGACTGAGGAGCTAAAAATATGAAAGATATTAGAAGAAAATGTAAAGAGAACATATACTAATTTTAGAAGTGAGGAAAGCTTTCCTAAGCAGCAGGCAAAAAAGCCCCCAAAAGTAATATTATTATTTATAATATTGATATATTTTATTAAAAACATTTAAAATTTCTATACAGCATAAGATACCATATTGTTAAAAGATAGCACTACACTGGGAGAAAATATCAATGATTCTAATGAAATAACCATAATATTTAAAGAACTCCCACTCGGCAAAACGATATATTAGTAAGTAAATCAAAGAAAACTCTAATTGACAATAAATAAAATTTACAAATAATAAATTACCTCACCACTAGTAGACAAGGAAATGCAAATCAAAACAGTAAAATGTCACTTCCACCCTAAAGACTGGTCAAAAAAAAAAAAAAAAAAAGATTTATGTTGATAACAGTTTGGGAAATACACTATTAGTGGTAGGAGGAAATAACGCAGTCCCTCTCTTCCCCACTAACTTTTATTTTAGATTCAGAGGGTATATGTGCAAGTTTGTTATACGGGCAAACTGCTTGTTACACGAGATTTGAGGTATGATTGACCCCACCACCCAAGCAATGAGCACAGTACCCAATAGTTAGTTTTTCAGCCCTTGCCTGCTTCCCTCCTTCCTCCAGCTAGTAATCCCCAGTGGCTACCGTTTCCATCTTTATGGCCACGTAACACAGCCTTTTAAAACAATTATCTGTGTTTATATTTTTAGTAAGCTCAGTAATTCTGTTTTTAGTAACCCTACAGAAACAATCAAATAAGTGTACGAAGATACACACACACACATGCACACACACAATGACAAAATGATAGTGCTCAGTAAATATTAGCTATTAGCCAGAGATGTTTCTAAGAGCTTTAGAAATATCAACTCACTTAATTCTCACAGCAATCCTATAATTTAGGTTCCATAATTTTCATCCCCATTTTGCAGATGAGGAAACCAAGGCACAGAAAGTTTGAGTAACTTGCCCAAAGTCAGAGAGAGAGTAGGCATCGGAGTCAGGATTCAACCGAGGCATTTCAACTTCAGAACCTGAGCTCTTAACCATCATCACCACTAGGCAGATCTACTGCGTTCTAAACAAGGATGTTCACTGCAATACTGTACATCATAGCAAAATGCTGGTAACAGCCACGATCAGCAACTGTAAAATACATAATCGGCTGCTCATCATGCAAAATAGTAAATGATGTATAATCAACACACACAAATATTTATAACACATTATGTGAAAACAAATGAGGCACAAAGATGTAGTGTAACTTCATTCGTGTCTTAAAAGCAACCTCTGTGTGCAGTTTTGTATGTGTGTCTATTCATTTGTTCAGACAACTGTTTAAAAATTACACAAAAATATTAATACTTAATACTAGTTTCTTCTGGGAAGGAGAACAGGATTAGGGCGTAAGGATGAAGAGAGGTTTTTCACTGGTTATTTATGTATCTTTGTATTAGGTGACTTCTTTTATTAATATAAATGGCAAGTTATTGCTTTTCTATTAAAAACAAATTAAGCTAATAAGCAAACATGGAGGTAGAGCCCCAGGTGAGATAAGATGCTAATATCATCAACAGCAACGATCTAACCTCTTCCAAAGCAATCACATTTGTGATGCTGATGGCCCAGACTGAAGAGCTAAATGGTAACAAGAATTTTAAACATTGTGATGCTGATTAGAACACAGTAAGATTGTCACACATTATTGCAAGAATATATAAAACATCATTAGTGAGAAATCAACTGGGTGAGTTCAAATTGTGGCTCTACTATTTAATAGTTGTATGATTCCAGGGAAGTGACTTAACCTCTTGATATCTCAATTTCCTCATTATAAAATGGAGATATTAGTAATTACCTTATATGGTTAATACTTGTAAAATCCTTATTACCTGCACAAAATATAGATTCATTTTGTTAGACAAAAATAACGTAAGAAAATGCATATATATACATGCTGATGTTACGCTAACAGTACCACCTCCCTTTCCAAAGACATAAATAACCTCTGCAAAACAAACTAAATGTATCACGCACAGTAAGTGTATAAGTGTTGTTTTGCAAAACTTTTGTTTTTTTTTTTTTTTGAGACTGAGTCTTGCTCTGTTGCCCAGGCTAGAGTGCAGTGACATGATCTTGGCTTACTGCAGCCTCCGCCTCCCGGGTTCAAGTGATTCTCCTGCCTCAGTCACCTGAGTAGCTGTGACTACAGGTGCACACCACCATGCCTGGCTAATTTTTATAAATTTTAGTAGAGATGGGGTTTTACCATGTTGGCCAGGATGGTCTCAATCTCCTGAACATGTGATCCACCCTCCTCGACCTCCCAAAGTGCTGGGATTACAGGCGTGAGCCACTGCGCCTGGCCTGGCAAAACTTTTTTTAGGCTACGCAGACACATGTATGAATATGGTACTATAATGTAAAATTCACTTCTCATGGTCCAAAGAATATCAAATCCACTATAACTACAGCATGTCGGTGAGTGGCGTAGGGCTCTGTCCTCTGCTGCTACATCCCAAGATCAAACCTCACCACATCAAGCCTGGCATCTACAACAGCATCTTTCATTTAAGAGGGCTGCAAAGTAAACACGCTGTTCAAACCTTAATATATGCACAAACATCCTGTCTTAGAACAAATTCGAAACACCTTTCTTCCTAAGTGTCTTTTCTATTGTCTCTAGATTAAATTCATATCACTATTAATATATTTTTAACACAGATCATAAAGCAATACTCTCCCTGAAACTTTTTTCCTCCCTAGTCAAAGCACATCCTGATGTTAAGGCAACTTAATCTAAATCCTCACTGTTTGTAGGTTTGTTTATAAACTTTTTGTTCTGTCACTTCAATGGACAACACAGCTAAAAAAAACTTTTAATTTTATACGAATCATTAAATTCACTCTGCCAAAAGTAAGAATTTTATTATTCGTAGTAGCTACATTTCCAGAATAAAGGCATTACATATTATAACTGGCCTAATAAAATTAGGTGTTTAGTATTACGCTTATTTCAGTAATAAATCAACTTTAGGCTGGTTCTCAAAATATTTTTCCTAGTACCCTGCCTGAGTCTCTCCGACACATACACTATTTCTCCCGTATCATGTCTGCTATTCCCCATATAACTTGTTTAAAAAAGAAGTGAATTGTGAAGTCCCATGAACCTCTAGCTTTGTTCCCGTTCGCGCGCGCGTGTGTGTTGGGGGAGGGGCGAAGGAGACTAAAATTAATCTTAGATCTTTTACGCAGTATCTCCTAGATCTTTTTTATATACTGAAAACAGTAATTTGCACATCTTGTATAAATTCACTGAAAGCCAATTTAGAAATTCTTCAGTTCAATTCCCTCATTCTACAGATGATGAAATCTAGATCTAGAGAAGTTAAGTAACTTCCTCAGAGTCACATGCTTTGTACTGAAATGTATGATTATGTGACCGCTAACACTGTCTCATCTACTTGAAGAAGTGGCCCGCGATTACGAACATTAATTAACCATATACATTAAATGGTGGCATGTTTCCTAGAACTTTTCAAAGTACTTAAAAATAATTACTTAAGGCATTTAGTGTTAAGCCTCATTTTACAGAAAAACAAGCCAAATCCTAAAAGTATTCCTTCCTTGTTACTATATCAAAGTTAAGGATAAGATTTATTCTTAAAGAATTAACTGGTACTTAAGACACAGTATCATCTTCCTCCAAATACTTCATTTCTAAATTTTTACTTAAAGTTTCTCTTATTGTCTTTTTAAAAAAGTTAAAAATCATAATAAATTCATTAAAGTAAAATTGTCTCTGGATCTCATACCTGCCGTTCATCCTCCATGACGTTACTGGCAAATTCAAATACTAGTTCGTTCTGTTGGACAACAGCAGCCATAATACAGCATTCCCCTTAGATCCACATGAGAAAAATTCCAAACAGGTTCATGTGTCAGGCGGCAAAACCCAGGGACTGATTTGGGTGAAACCCTCCGCTCTGTCTGAGAAGTTACTGCACACTCAGGTTTTCTTTAGGGAAGGTGCTTCAGTTTTCCTGTTCATTGAGGTTCTAGTCAAATTCTGACAATTTTTCTGAAATTTTTCTTCTCTCAAGCTTCTCGGCCTAAAAAAACAAAAGCTTACGTTAGTTACAAAAAAGCAATCCCCACTTAGAATATAATAACTGAGACAGAGGGCAGTATCGTCAAAGCAGTTTTTTGTTATTAATATTTTTAAATAAAATCAACATGACTAATGAACATAATGCTCTTTTTAAAAAGTTACATATTTTCTTTGAAGACTTTGCTCCTGCTAAGATCATCTCTCACTACTGAAAATTATGCCTCTCTCCCCCAATCCCCAGTTAAACTACTGTTAAAATACTCAATGTTTTTTTAAAACATACCAAAAAACCCCAACAATAATGAGGGTTGTCATCGAAATAAAGGATATATAAACAATTTCCTTCTTTTTACCAACTCAGCAGAGCACATACACAGAAACTGCTACCCCACGAGTAATTTCATAACGTATATATATATTTTCACCTTTAATTATATAAGAATTTAAAATCTAATACATTTAAAGTTTAGTAAGAACTATTTTTAAATCTTTTAAAAATAAGCAGAAATTAAAGCCCACTCTTTCTGTTCTTTTAAAAGGCTTTTGGTAAGTAGAATGTTTTTAAAATTACCATGCTTAAGTCTGTCTTCAGTGGCTTCTTTTTTAATGCACTGAAATGTATTCTTATCTCGAGCATAGGCTTGCAAGCAACAGGAAGGAAACAGCACTTGACCACGTCATGGCAAATTAGAACATGCAAAGAACTGCACTTTACAATAGTAGAAAAACAGAAACGCAACTGAGCAGTGAAAACAATTTCACAACGAAGAAAGAAAGGCTTTTAAAATATTGGCCAAAGATGTCTGCCTATTGTTTTAAAAAGTTATAGATACTAACAGAAGGAAAAGGAAAAAATTCTTTAGGTTTTTAATCACAATCTTATTAAATTTTCATCAAATGATTATGGCCATAAACGTGGTATGAAAAGACAAAGACAGAAAAATAATCACATTAAGTAGCATCTAGTTCTTTGAATGACCATTTATAATTTTAATACAAACACTTTAGTTGACTCCAAGGAAAGGATGGCCAGTAATTTCCTAATAATTTAAAGAGACAAGTTTGGAGACAAAGCTGACCTGGTGAATCAGTTTCCTTGAAAACGTAAATCCAGCTAGTATGTGCCAAATCACTTAAGCATTTCCTAATTTCTGCAGAGACAAGTCCCTATGTGTTCTGGGCTTTCACGGCCATCATGGGTGATTGTGATTTTCCCAGTAGGAACTCAAAATAAAGTAAGAATTAAGACTCCAAGTCAGATGATATTTCCAGTTACTACACCAAATTCCAACCCAGCACATTTCCCACTCTCATCCACTCCCTTTTAACAGCAAGTTCAACTCCAAATGTATTCCTAGCACATTCAGGTGATTTTTGAGCCATGTACCATATCTAGAAGAGGAAAAAGTGTTTTGATCCAAACAGATCACAGATGGACGTATTTGGCCTTGTGCAGGTATTACTGACAATACCTTTTTCCTTAGATTATTATCCAACCCAATTCCTCTACACCAGGCCTGCCTAATGCTCCTCCACACAAACTATTCAATCTTGCCTCTTTTCTCAACTTCTGTTATTTCCCATGCCTGCAGTACCCGCCCACTTCTACTTGCCAGCATTCAATCCCATCTTTTCCACTCAATACTCAAGCCCCATTTATTTCACAAAGCCTCCCAACATCTCTGCCTCAAACTGTAAGGGTGCTCCCTTCAAAAACACAGCAATTACTGCCCGTACAACCAATCTAGGATTCATTGTAGTACACTGTCTCAAATTCGAAAACTGCGTCCCCTGAATTCAAGTGAATACATGTTTGAGTGCCAATTATTTGCAAGGCAATGTGCCAAGCACCAAGACAACTGAAGCAAAACCTCTTCTGGGGAAATAACCTTTGTCTAAAATTTCTTCTGTATTTCCCAAACCTGTGTGCCCACAGTGATTACAAAAAGGATTACACTGATAACAGATACTGTTTTAAATATCTTATCAGGTCAGGCATGGTGGCTTAAAGCTGTAACACCAGGATTTTGGGAGGCTGGTAGGGAAGAAGTCACTTGAGACTAGGAGTTTGAGACCAGCCAGGGCAACATACCAAGACCTCACCTCTACAAAAAAAAAAAAAAAAAAAAAAAAATTAGCTGGCTGTGTTGGTGTGTGTGCACTTGTGATCCTAGATACTCAGGAGGCTGAGGCAGGAGGCTCGCGTGAGCCCAGGAGTTCAAGGCTGTAGTGAGCCACGACTGCCACTGCACTCCAGCTTGCCTTACATAGTGAGAGTCTGTGTTTAATAAATAAGTATCACTAGATATTTAAACTATTTCTACTAATATCCTTTATTTAAAAAAAGAATGACTGACATATTCCTGGTAAAGAGGAAACTATTATCGTAAGTTTGAAAAGCCACAGTAAGAAAATATAACCAGAATCAAGGGATGTTTGCTGATACAGACGTTTCTCTGTAAAAGATTAGGTTCCAAAAGGCTATTTCAAAACGCATTTGTTCACAAATGCAAAATGACATTGTCCCAAGGGCCAAGGTGAATACATCTACGGAAATTTAAGTTTTACTTTCTTTTTGACTGCTATCGTGTGCTGTTTTCTATCAGCACTTCCACACTGCTACTGTGCTTTAACAGTTGTCTTTCAGAAATCTCAAAAGTCAGAATAAGCAATCAATATACCCACACCTTATAGTACATACTAAAAACCAACAGTAATAAATCAAAACTGAAAATGGCTCCCCACAATCACAAGCCACTTATTGAGGCAGAAGACACCTTTGCTGGCATGTAGCTTTTGCTCATTTCTATGGAGAGGTCCATAAACTGAAAATGTGTACATAAAGAAAAGCATTTTATTGGTTTAGTCATGTCTTTGACGCTCTGACATCTTTCCTGCTCCTCCTCCTCTCCCTCGTGTACTTATATACCCTACAGCATCAAGGAGGTTCTTGAGAATACATTTTCTGATACCTGATCCAGAGGGAGCACCTGTAGATATCAAAGATACTTAAATTACAAAGTTCAGGTATCTTACAATTCTTTTCAGTTATAGACAAGACTGAAGATCTAAATTAATGATTCCATTTTTCATCAGTAAATTGGGGTGGCCAAGTTCTTACAGTCTACAAGAAAAACAGAACTAAAATTGGAATTCTTGTTTCCTAAATCAGGACTGTCTCTAAAACCATGCAGCCAGGCCTCTAAATCCACCAACGTCCTTTCTGCTATAACAGTTTATTATATAGATTAAGTAAATACATATATAAAAAACAATTTAAATCTCCAACTCCAGGTTCAGGTTCTGAGCTCCAAATCCAGTCACCAAATTGTCTATCAGACAAGTCTATATCAGCGCCTCTTGAAGACAGTGTGTAAAAAACATGTCCAAAACTAAATACATCATCTAATTCCTCAAATATGCTCTTAGATGGGGAAAAAAAAATGGGCACTCGGATTAGAAAGAGGGCATCCAGGCAGGCATCTATCAGATAAAAAAATCTCAGGCTGGCTCATTTTATTCTCCAAGGAGACATGCCACAGGTATACTTATCAACAAGGTTCCTAACCTCTCATCCCCAAAACAAGCTTTGTAGTTAAGGTAAAATAGTAACACAAAGCAGTTCAGAGAACAGGCTCTGGAGTCAGACTGCTTGGGTGCCCATCTTCTGCAGTGTGACCTTGGACACGTTACTTACTTGGTGTCTCAGTGTCCTCATTCCATAATATAGGTAGTATCAGTCTCAAGTTTCCTCCTTCTGTAAAATGGGTAAAGTAAATAATACCAAAACGCAGAGCTATTGTGAAGATTAGATGCAAAAATGCATGTGCAGAATACTTGACACATAACGTGCACTGAATTAACATTAGCTTCTTTAACGCTCCAAGTATATGCAAGAGATACGTAACAGGTGCATGCCAGGTAACTAATTATTCCTTAAGTCTCATTTCTGTACTCCTTGGAAGTCTCCATTACCACAGCTATTTGCTAGACTCCAAAAAAAAAAGAACATCATAACCCATTATCAACAATAGTATAATTCCATTCCAGTGCTTAAAAGTTAGGCGTGTTTTTAATAAATCTGTTTCTTCAAGGCCAGGACTTCATTCTGGCCAGCTTCCCTAACGTGGAGTCCCATTATGCCCCGTTCCAAACAAAATGACCTCATTGACTGTAAACACAAAACCCTCAGCCACATTACTAGCTACCATAACCAGTTCAAATGGTTCCTTTTGTTTAATTTATTATAAAAGATTTCAGGCACTAAAAAAATAGGATAGTCAAAACTGATCGCTGATTGAATGTAAATTTAAGATTCCTTTAAAGCGGTTTTTAGACACAAGGATATTAAACTCAGGAATTCGTAAATGTATTTTTAAAGAATCGTCACTCTCCTTTCAGGTTACTGTGGTACCAGTTGTTTATGGTGAAATCAGAATGCTCTAGTCCTAAATTCTTTATCTTTTCAGCGAATATGTTGTCCAAGGTAATCCTGAGACCTTTTTCAGCTCTAAGATCCTGTGATTTCACACTTTTTAGATTGAGAACGTTTCTTAAAATGTTTTGAATTAATAAAGAATTCAACAATCAAAAAAAGTAATTAAAAATAAAAGAATGCTTAATTTTAAGTAGCTATCTTGCATAGCTACCTAAAATATAGTAAATATATGGTACCTGTTTAGATTGCAGAAACACAGTTTTAAACTTTTTCTCAACCTTCTTCAATTTATTGAATATTTGAAAAAATTTAAATGAAAATTTTAAATGAAACGTTTTCCTTTTCAATTATGAGAACATTGAATGCAATGAAATGGTTTGTTGCCTTGTGACATTAATATGAGAAATAATGAGGGCCAGGCGCGGTGGCTCATGCCTGTAATCCTAGCACTTTGGGAGGCCGAGGTGGGTGGAGCATCTGAGGTAAGGAGTTCAAGAGAAATAATGAGGGGGGAATGAATTTCACATTGCATATATGACATATAAAAAATACATTTGGTTAGTGTCATCAATGCTTGATCGTGTTCCTTTTCCTTACTCATCTTGGAGCTTTTGTCATAGGAATCAAATCAGTTCCCAACTGCGACCTTCTATCAGGGCAACATTTTGCCTTTTAAAGTGTTTTCATTAGAGTCAAAGTCTTGAACACCCCCTTGAATTCATCGGAAAATATGTCACTTGGGTCTGGAGAGGGCTATATAGGTGAGGATCTGAATCCAACAGATGTCTACTGATCACCTCTCTAACTCTAGAATCAAGACTGACCTCTTTTGGTGATAACATAGAAATGTCATCTTCATATATCATTCTCGCCTTTTCTTCAATTACTTTTTTGTTCTGCTCTTTAAGTCTTTACAGGCAAGCCAGAAAAGTAGGTTCTCTTCGCTGTATTCTGTTCGGAGGAAGTCTCTGAAAAGGTTTCTTCCTTCTGGGGCCTTCATCATCTTGTCAGAATGTTGAGACCAGGACAAGACTTCCTCTGCAGTGGGGCTTTGGCATTCCTCTAGGACGTGAGGCTCCCCATTTCTGTAGTGCATGTGGGTCTTCCCGCATTTTCCCCTCTTCATCCCTAACAGAGAGGCAGGAGCAGCTGCAACAACAGCACCAACAAAAGCAACAGGTGTTGTTGGGCCTCTGGTTTCCAGGCGCTTGAGACACAGCAGGGGTTCCTTCATTTTGGAACTGCTGCCTTTTCCGCATTTCGGCTACTTCAGTACCCAACTGGCCTGGCACCTGGAGGTGTGGGCAGCACACCAATGGGCCTGTCACCTGAAGGTGTGGGCAGCACACCAATGGGCCCAGGGGAGCGGGGCTCCGCAGCTCAGTCCTCTAGTGGAGCTGGTTTGTGGCATTTGCCCAACTTCAGCACCCAGTGGGCAAGGAGCCAGCACTGAGCGAGCAAGGAGCTAATTTTTACTTATTTTTTAGGGACAGAGTCTCGTTGTTGCCCAGGCTGCAGTGCAGTGGCCTGATCCTTGCTCACTATGGCCTCAACCTCCTGGCCTCAAGCGGTCCTCCCACTGCAGGCTCCTGAGTAGCTGGGGCTGAAGGTGGACACTACCATACCTGGCTAATTTTTCATAATTTCCTTTGTAGAGAAGGGGTCTCCCAACTCATCCAGGCTGATCTCAAACTTAAGAGCTCAAGCAATCCTCCCACCTTGGCCTCCCAAAGTGCCGGGATTATATGGGCATGAGCCATTGCATCTGGCCAGGTTCTTTAGTTTAACTTAGGTGTTTTTTAATTGAGGGGGAGTAAGCAGAGGGAAGTACTGAGGACTTTATCAAAAGTATAGTTTTATTTTCATGTAAATAAAGTACAGACTGATGATTTTTAGAGTGTCTCAGTCAGGCTTCTGGTGACTTAAGCAAACCTGAAACAGGTCTTGGCTACTTGTTCAAGCTCACCTTAGCTTCAACCATGCTGATAATACAAATCAACATGACCCAACTAAGCAGACTGACTGCTCTATGTATTTGCCTTTTTGCTGACACCCAGGTGAAGAGTTCCAGGACTCTGAAGGCAGGGCCACAATTACTCACTACCCAAACCTGAAATTCCAGTTCTTTCACATAGTTCTTCATTTCCTATCATTGGCCACTTGGGCTAGCCTGGTATCAGAATACACTCAGGCAGCATTTATAGCACCTGGCAAAACAGCCACACAGACTGAATACCTAGACCTGTCCATACCTGTGGTCTCAAGTTTAACTCTTTTTTTGAGCATGTTCTGAAAACAACAGAATTCAAAATCAAAAGAGAAATATTGGCCAGGTACGGTGGCTCACGTCTGTAATCCCAAGACTTTGGGAAGGCAGATCACTTGAGGTCAGGAGTTCAGAACCAGCCTGGCCTGCATGGTGAAACCTCACCTCTACTAAAAATACAAAAATTACCCGGGTGTGGTAGGGCACCTGCAATCCCAGCTACTCAGAGGCTGAAGCACGAGAATCACTTGAACCCAGGAGGTGGAGATTGCAGTGAGCTGAGATTATGCCACTGCACTCCAGCCTGGGCGCCAAAGTGAGACTCAGTCTCCGAAATAAACAAACGAGAAATATCTTAACAGTTGTCAGATACTGTTTCAATTCTGTTCATTAAAAAGTAAACACAAACATGCTAAAATGTCTCTCAGCAAAACCTGTTCAGGCAGTTAAAAAAATTTCTCTCTCCAACCAACAAGACTTAACTTGCAAGGAAATTCTGTTTCATTTCTGTGGTCCTTTATTCTCCTGGTTAATATTTCCATTTTCTTAGAAAAGACATGCTCTAGTGCAATGGTTCCCCATCTGAGAATACAGCAGATTGCCATGAGTAACAGTGTTTCATGCTGGCACTAGTTGAGGGTGAAAAGCCAGGGATATGCTGTTTCAAAGTTCCTCAGCAGAGTGTGCCACATGACCCGCCTCCCCCACCTCCAATTCCCACACAGCATAGCTCTCTTCTGGTAGAAACTGTATTCTGTAATAAGAAGTTTCACTCTTACATGGAGGCACATCAAAAGGCCATCTAAATCACTTCACGCTCATGTACTGCATTATTAGGTGATTTGCTCTTTCACTGATTTATCGGATGGGCTCTTCCTACCTCTATTCTAGCCCCACTCCTGTGGCTCTTCAGCCTGGAGTAGAAGTTATTTACCTAAACAGTGAAAAGATGATCAACTTACTTCTCTGACAACTAATTAATGGCTTCCATCACCTACAGGCAAAAACTCCAAATCTATTAACAAGGCTAAAAAAGCTCCTCGTGATGCGGCAAAAGTGTGAGGAAATGGTAGATTTTTAAGACAGGATGTCTGAGCACCTGAACTGGAGGAGCGAATGGAAATATTCTATGCATGAAGCTTAAAAGTACACCTATAACCTACAGGAATCAAGACAGTCAGGTACTGATGAAAGAACAAAAGAGATCAATGGAACAGAATAGGGAGCATAGATAATGGCACCACATAAATACAGTCAACCATCTTTGTCAAAAGACAAAAGCAACACAATGGAGAAAAGACAGTCTTTTCAACCAACAGTGGCAGAAAAACTGGATATCCACATGAAAAAAACAAAAAGAATCTAGACACAGCTCTTATACCCTTCACAAGTATGAACTCAAAATGGATCGTAAACCTAACGGGAAAATGGAAAACAATACAATTCCTAGAATATGGCACAGGAGAACAATCTAGAGGAACGTGGGTTTGTTAATGGCCTTTTCAGATACCAAATGCAGGATGCATGAAAGAAGGAATTGATAAGCTGGACTTGATCAAAATTAAAAATTTTTGCTCTTTACAAACCGCAGATGAAAGGACTGTTATCTAAAATGTACAAGGATCTCTCAAAACTCAGAGAAAATAGCCTGATTTTAAAATGGGCGAGCCGGGTGCAGCAGCTCATGCCTGTAATCCCACCCAGCACTTTGGGAGGCTGAGGTGGGTGGGTCACCTGAGGTCGGGAGTTCAAGACCAGCCTGACCAACATGGAGAAACCCTGTCTCTACTAAAAATACAAAATTAGCCAGGCGTGGTGGCCATGCCTGTAATCCAAGCTACTCGGGAGGCCAAGGCAGGAGGACTGCTTGAACCTGGGAGGCGGAGGTTGCGGTGAGCGCCACTGCACTCCAGCCTGGGCAGCAAGAGTGAAACTCCATCTCAAAAATAAATAAAAAAAATAAAATGGGCCAAAGACCTTAACAGACACCTCAGCAAAGAAGATACACAGATTAGCGTATGAAAAGATGCTCCACATCATCTGTCACTGGAGAAATACAAACTAAAATGACAACGAGGTGCCACTACAAACCTATTAGAATGGCCAAAATCCAGAACACCGACAACACCAAAAGCTGACAAGGACGTAGAACAACAGGAATTCTCATTCACTGCTGGTGGGAAAGCAAAATGGTACACTTCGGAAGACAGTTTGGCAGTTTCTTACAAAACTAAAGATACTCTTACACCATAGAGCTGTGCTCCTTGGTATTTACCCAAACGAAGTAAAAACTTATGTCCACACAAAACCTGCACATGGATGTTTATAGCAGCTTTATTCATAACTGACAAAGCTTGAAAGCAACCAAGATGTCCTTCAGTAGGTGAATTAATAAACTGTGGTGCATCCACATAATGAAATACTACTCAGCACTAAAGAGAAATAAGCTGTCAAGCCACAAAAAGACATGTGGAAACCTAAATGCTTGTTACTAAGTGACATTTGCCCAAATCCACAAAATGTACACCACCACAAGTGAACCCTAATGTAAACCATGAACATCGAGTGACAACGTGCCAGTGTAGGCTCATCAGCTGTAACAAGTGCACTGCTTTGGTGTAGACACTGATTAGCAGGAGGCTGGTACCAGAGGTTATGCATGTGCAGGGGCAGGAGATATATGGGAAATCTTTTACTTTCCTCTCAATTTTACTGTGAATCTAAAATGGCTCTAAAAAAAAGTTTTTTTTTTTTTTAAAGTATAGCTTCACCGGCCGGGCGCGGTGGCTCAAGCCTGTAATCCCAGCACTTTGGGAGGCCGAGGCGGGTGGATCACGAGGTCAACAGATCGAGACCATCCTGGTCAACATGGTGAAACCCCATCTGTACTGAAAATACAAAAAATTAGCTGGGCATGGTGGCGCGTGACTGTAATCCCAGCTACTTAGGAGGCTGAGGCAGGAGAACTGCCTGAACCCAGGAGGCGGACGTTGCGGTGAGCCGAGATCGCGCCATTGCACTCCGGCCTGGGTAACAAGAGCGAAACTCCTTCTCAAAAAAAAAAAAAAAAAAAAAAAAAAAGTATAGCTTCAACACAGTTTTATTACTCTTCCCTATCATCTCAAAAACAATGTTCTAGCATTTCTGCATTTTATAGTTCCCCCACTTCCCCATTCCATTATTAAAGAAGCCAAAGTCGGCCCTGACTTAATCCCACCAAGAACTCAGTAAATACTACCTTTTCCTAGACTTTCTGTCCGTACTCACTGCCACAGAATCAGACCTTTCTGACTATTCTCTGACAATCACAACCTTTTGTTCCTGTGACATCTTAGGATCCTTTTTCAAGTCACAGTGCAACCACATATAAGGACATTATCTTAAGGGAAATAAACATTTCCATCTTTTCCCAAGTTACCAACACATTTGAAAGACTTTAAGATTCCTTGTGCACAAAACTTCCTGCTCCCCATTTGTGAAAAAAAAAAACCCTGACTGATCTCTTTTGACGGTCTACCCCTTTTCTTCTTTATTATTTTAATCTTTTTTTTTTTTTTTTGAGATGGGGTCTTGATCTGTTGCCCAGGCTGGTCTCTAACTCCCAGGCCCAAATGTTCCTCCTACCTTGGCCTCCTAAAGTGCTAGGATTACAGGTGTGAGCCACCATGCTCAATTTCCTTTAAATTATATAAAACTATTTTAAATCAGCTTGGATATCATCAAAGAGTTCTGATGTTTCATGTCAGGATCTTTAAAATGGGATTCTTCCTATAACCATCTTTATAACTGTCTGGCAATTACCTAAGCTTCTGAACTAAAATGAAACCAAAAAAAACCAAGAAGCAGGCGGGGCACAGTGGCTCATGCCTGTAATCTCAGCACTTTGGGAAGCCAAGGTGGGCAGAACACTTGAGCCTCGGAGTTCAAGACCAGCCTGAGCAAAAAGGTGAAACCTCATCTCTACAAAAATACAAAATTGGCTGGGTGTGGTGGTGTGAGCCTGCTGCAGTCCCACCTACTCTGGAGATCAAGGCGGGAGGATCACTTCAGCCCAGGAGGTAGAGGTTGCAATGAGCCAAGATAGCATCACTGCACTCCAGCCTGAGAGACAGAGAGACCCATCTCAAAAAAAAAAAAAAACCCAAAACGAAGCAGCAAAACCATAAGATGAGAAATAAAAATGTGGAAGGGCATGGGCTTAGTACTGTGAGATATATACAGTCATTTACCACATAACAACATTCTGGTGAACAGTGGAGCAGATAGGGAAAGAAGATGATAATACCATGTTTTTACTGCACCTTTTCTATGAGTGTTTAAATACACAAATACTTGCCATTGTGTTAAACTTACCTATTATATTCAGTACCGTAACGTGCGGTACAGGTTTGCAGCCTAGAAGCAGCAGGCTACACCACATAGCCTAGATGTATAGTAGGCTACACCATCTAGGTTTGTGTAGGTACCTTCTGTGATTTTTTTTGCAAAAGGACAAAATCACCTAATGATCCATTTCTCAGAATGTATCCCAGTCATTAACTGATGTATGTCTGTACTTAATATTTATAAATTATACTTACTTTTATATTTTACTATTGTACCAATCTTAGATAGAAGCAAACTTTACCATTAATGAGTAAAACATATACAGAATAAAGATTTAGACTTTCATCTTCCATAATAAAATTTCTCAATAAATTTTTCCATCATTTGAATCCATTTCAGTTACTGTTAACTACAGTGCATCAAATACCCTAGCATTAGGTTTTCTCTAATATAAAACAGTTTTTCCCCCCTTCTCACTACTGCACTTGACTAGTCTTAAAAAAAAAAGAAAGAAAGAAAGAAAGAAAGAAAGAAAGAAAGAAAGAAAGAAAGAAAGAAAGAAAGAAAGAAAAGAAAAGAAAGAAAGAAAACAGCTTTATGGAGGCCAAGGCAGGCAGATCACTTGAGGCCAGGAGTTCAAGATCAGCTGGCCAACATGGCAAAACCCCGTCTCTACTAAAAAATACAAAAATTAGCCATACAGAGTGGTGCACACCCGTAGTCCCACGTACTCTCAGAAAGCTGAGGTACTTTAGCCTAGGAGACAGAGCAAGCCTCCATCTCAAAAAAAAAAAAAAGGAATAGTTTAGTTATGCTTATTTGAGGCTTATCTAGAACTAATGAAAAGATCCTAAATACCTAATTTTAGAGGCACTTCTGCCATTGCTGATTAACTTTGCAGTAAAAAGTTAAATATTTATTGACTTTCCCCTAGGCTCAGCACTGTGGAAAATGTAAAGATAACACAGGGTTCTTGTTCCCATGAAATTTACAATCTAGTGCAGAAAACAAGACCAAGAGAAGCAACTAAATGCCCCAAGCTTGTATTAAGTGCTAAAAAAGCTGGACAGTATTGCAGTATTTCAGAAGAGGACATGGCCAAACAGGTAAAGGAAACACTTCACAGATAATGTGGGAACTGCACAAGGAAGGTAGGAGTTGGAAAGACTAAAGGGGAAAGGAAAAGATAGTAAAATACACTGTGGTACGTGAATGCCAAAGTTAGTAAAATACACTGTGGTACGTGAATGCCAAAGTTAGTAAAATACACTGTGGTACGTGAATGCCAAAGTTAGTAAAATACACTGTGGTACGTGAATGCCGACACAAAAGAATGCAGAGACTCAAAAATGACCCAAGTTTAGAGATCGTTAACAGCCTGATGAAGAGCTGTTCACTCTTTTCACAATAGGAAATAAAAAGGCAGGCAGAATTGAGGCATGATTTGAGAAGTAAAACAGTTCCTGGAGGTTATCAAACCGGGTCGCAACAACAGCCTGTAATCTATGACTACAAAGCCCAACGCAAGTCACGTAAGCAAGCTATGGCAACCAGCATCCAAAAACGAAGACAGTTTAAACAAACATTCCACAGCTTGGCTGCTACATGAAAACTTCCCATCACCAATGTGTATACTGCCCTCCTACATTCTTCATTAATTACCTAAAATAGACATTCTCAACAGTGGTTTTTATTCTGCTCAGGGTGTGGGAAAATTCTTTTTTTTTTTTTTAAGACGGAGTTCCACTCTTGTTGCCCAGGCTGGAGTGCAATGGTGCGATCTTGGCTCACCGCAACCTCTGCCTCCCGGGTTCAAGCCATTCTCCTGCCTCAGCCCGCCAAGTAGCTGGGATTACAGGCATGAGCCACTGCACCTGTCCTAAAATTCTTTAAACCACTTAATTTATGTCATGTTTTTGCTCTTCACCTAAGAATTGGAAGAGGGGAAAAATAGGAAAATAAGATTTTCAAAAATGTAGACTAAATACCACACAATCCTTCTTACAAATTATTCTACTGAACATCAAAACTATCTATGATTCACTTGAACACCAGTGTAACTTTGAAATATATGAACGGTTGCATTTTTGGATGACTGTATCTTGTCAGTTAGTATTAAATATTTTGAATAGATGATGCTGACTTAGTTATTCAATGAAGAAAGATGTGATATAAATAACAGATCCACCTTTCTTTCTTTGTCACCGAAATAGAGACTATCGCCAGCATTCACAAAATCTTCATTTTCTTACAAGGTGACATTCAGAAGATGCTTCTGGGAAAATATTTAGCTGACCAAATGAGGCTGCACTGAACCTGGCTTTGTTTTGTTTTGAGACAGAGTCTTACTCTGTTTGCCAGGCTAAGCACAATGTCACCAGCTCGGCTCACTGTAACCTCTGCCTCCTAGGCTCCAGCGATTCTCCTGCCTCACGCTCCCGAGTAGCTGGGACTACAGGTGCAATGCCTGGCTAATTTTTGTATTTTTAATAGAGACAGGGTTTCACTATGTTGGCCAGGCTGGTCTTGAACTCCTGACCTCAAGTGATCCACTTGCCTAGACCTCCCAAAGTGCTGGTCAAACCTGGCTCTTTATTAGAGGTGTTTTCTGCTTTACGGCTTTGTTGTACTCTTGGAAAGTTCAAAAATTCAAAGTTGTCTCAGTAGATTTAACGGGCGCTTACTAGATTTAAAAAAATACTATAAAGACACATCGGGAATTGTACAGTATCACAATAAGGCTTATTTATATTATTATTTGTTAGTGACATCTAATGTCTAATAAGTTCTTTATGGTTTACAAAGTAAAGCATATATGGTATGCTGCTTTTTATTTCATCCTTAAACATCTCTAATAAACTACCGATGTCGCTGCATAGATATAAAAATCTGACACCTCCTCGAGGAGATGAGGAAAGAGATGATAATAATAAGTCATAGAATAAATAATTAGATACTACTCAAAGCAATCTACAGATTCAATGCAATCTGTATTAAAATATCAAAGACACTCTTCACAGAAATAGGAAAAACAATTGTTTTTAAATTTATAGGGAGACCGGGCATGGTGGCTCATGCCTGTAATCCCAGCACTTTGAGATGCCAAGATGGGAGGATCACTTGAGCCCAGGAATTTGAGACCAACGCAGGCAACATGAGACTCCCATCTCTCTCTTTTTTTTAATATGATAAATTTTTAAAAATTTGAAAAAGTTTTATGAAACCACAAAAGATTTCAAATAGCAAATAACAAAGCTGGAAGCACCACACTACAAGACTTCAAAATATACTACAAAGCTGTTATAACCAAAACAGCACGGTTGGCGTAAGAACATAGATATAATGTGTGAGACCCTGTTCTGAGTACTGGAATACAGCAGTGAACCAACCAACCAAAATTTCTGCCCTTTTAGAGCTTAGAATCTAGTGATTTTAATCACAACATTCTGTTCCCCCTCAAAATATTCTGCTTTAAAAATGTGAAGCCAGGTGCAGTGGCACGCTCCTGTAGCAGGGGGATGAAGCAGGAAGCCCACTTCAGCCCCAACAGTTCAAGCCCAACACCATGCACTGAGATCACAAAGCCACTCACTCCAGCCAGGGTAAAACAGCAAGACCTTGTTTCAAAAAAAAAAAAAGTTGGGGTGAGATTGTCAGGCAATGTAGGCTGTTATCATAAAACCCATGAAGAGAAACTTCTGCCTCTCTCCTTTGATACCTAACTCCCAGTCACACTCCAAGCCCTGACAACTGGACACAGAACACGTGACCTCTCCTGCACTAAGGAGGGGAAGAAAAGTTGTGGGGAGAAGTTTGTTTTGTTTTGTTTTGACCTTTCAGAGACAATCTGTGAGTATATAAGGTGAGGGGAAGGCAAAATCTTGGGAGGAAATAGATACAGATAAATCCAAAAGCGGATTGTTCCAGGTAAAGCTGATTTACTTGAGGGTAACCTCAAAGCCTTCATTTTGATTTAATTTTATTTTGAGCCAACTGAAATGTGACAACAAATAAAAGTGTACTGAGATTTTATAAAACATCCTCTTTAGAAAGAGAAATACCTCGAGGAGAAGAAATAATTCTTTCTATATTGTCTTTTCCTATATATTAGTAGTAGATAGCCTTCAGAAATCTTATCTGGGCCAGGTGCTGCCTATAATCCCAGTACTTTGGGAGGCAAAAGTGGGAGGATCATTTGAGGCCAGGAGTTTGAGACCAACCTGAGCAACATGGCGAGATCCCATTTCTACAAAAATTAAAAATCAGCTGGGCATGGTGGGATGGGCTGGTTGTCCCAGCTACTTGGGAGGCTGAGGTGAGAGACATGATGGTGCCACTGCCCTCCACCCTGGGTGACAGAGCAAGACCTTATCTCGAAAAACAAAACAAAAATTGCAAGCCCCATTTCAAAAAAAAGAAAGAAATCAGTTTTGTCTATATTCTTTTGAACAATACTCTTTAGGGACCTACCTGCTGGAGAAGGGTAGGAAAGCAACAAGTGGCTAAGAAGACTTTCCCTACAGGCGGTCACAGTCTATCAGCTAAGGCAAATGCAAGTCACAGTAATATGTATGCTATACCAGAAATGGGCACAAAGTTCATTCTCCCGTGTCATTCAGTAATTACTTACTATATCCTATCTCTAAGATTCTAAGCTTGAAAAAAAAGACATAATAAATGTTTCCATATGTTACTAATAAACACAATTTAAAAGATTAAGTACAGTATGTGTTAGAAAGTCACTAGGTCAAGATCAAAGGACATTTTATTTTCTTAAAAATTTTTGCTTATTAAAATTCTTCATTAAGATGGTAAAATTTAAGTGTCTTCTATGTTTGTTTTAGCATTCTATTGAATTTCACAGGATGCACTTGCTTCTCAGAACCAACTGGTGGTGAGCTAAGCTTCACTGACTATCCTCAAAGTGACATATATACATGTATTTTTCTGATTCAGACTTATAAATACATCAGCACCCCCCCACAGCACAATAAAGGGAGGTCTCACATGTAAAAGGACACTCAAAAACCCTGGAAACGATTTTTCACATGTCTATCTAAGTTTTAATAAACAAAATAACTATTTGGTGCTTCTAAAACTCCTTAAAAATTAAACTCATATAGCTTCATAATTTTTCCTTCAATCTTTAAAAATCAAATCCTTAGATTTCACTTTGATCATTTAGATTTGTTTTAAAAATATAGTAACTTCTATCAATTTTCAGCTGGAAAAACTGTTAATATGGAAACTTTATAAGACATTCCTAGAATGGGCAGATCTAAGCTGAAGTCCTACTTGTAAAAATCACTGCTCTGCTGACGAGACCACTGCAATTGGTGGTCTCCAAACGAGACCCTCCAATCACCAACACACAAAAATTTGGTGACAAAAAGTAGTAAAGAGAATTATTGTTTCCATTTATTCAGTGTAGATATCAAGACTAGAATGCAAGTCTAGACATTTTTTTCCAGATTAAAGCCAAAAGTGAGAGATTTTTGATGCTTAGCAATCTAAAATAATTAAGCTCTTTAGCTACACTTTTAAATGGACCAATATATTATCTCCACTTTTGACTAGGATGAAAACACTAATAATTTCACTAAGATATCTCATTTCCATAAACAGCAAAAACAAACTGGGGGTGGATAGGGCTGAAGCAGGAAATAACTTTTATAATAAAATTATTTCTTAGAAATAAACCATAAAGGCTACTTGTAGAAAAGATCCACGTTAGAGTTCTTTAGCCAGCTTGTGATTCTAGAAAAAAGAAAATAAATATCAGGCATGTATTTATTCCTCCAACAAGTATTAATGAAATCTATATGCTATGTACTGGGTATATAAAAATAAAGATAAATAAGATATGATCCTTGACCCCAAATGGTTCAATGCCTAAAAAGAAAAAATGCAAACAGATAACTACAAAACAATGTAAATAAACAAGTCAACCAAAAGATAATGGAACAGAAAAGGATAAATCCCTGTGAGAACCTGAAAAAACTTCATAAGGAAGTGACACGTGGGCTATTTGTTTAGAAATAAGTAACATCTATTTTTTCTAAGGAGAGAGAACATGATAGGAAAAGGAGTAGGGGATATTCTAGGAAGAATAAGCAGAGGTGACCCTAAAAGTTCAAATCACTGAGAAACAGGTAGAATAGCTATTTAATGAAAACAAACCTTTCCCTAACATTAGGAATACAGGATCTAGCATCAGAACCCCTGCATTCAAGTTGTAGTTTTGTCATTTACTAACTGTATTTACCAACTGTATTTAGTTACAGAGAGAAGTCAACCTCTATAACTTTCCATTCATCTTTCATTTTGAAGTTGTACCAAGAATTTACTTTGTAAACTACAAAATGCTTTGAAAGTTTTACAGAATCCTGAAATGCTAATATATAAAAGTTATAATTAGATACTAAAATTTTAAGATCAAAATATTAACCTAACATTTTACAGTGAATTTATACAAATACACACAAATTCAAATGCCAATTTTTATTGCCTAAAAAATGTCACAAAAGTAAATACCTTTTAAATATGTAAAAGATGTATGTACCTATTAGGTGCTATGGCAACCTTGATATAAGGTGCCCCACACTCCTGCTATACCTTTTAAATATGTAAAAGATGTATGTACCTATTAGGTGCTATGGCAACCGTCTAATTGCCACATGATGCATACAATCCATATAACACCAAACAAGCCTACAATGCCCTTCGAATCAACAAGTGACACAAGTTTAATGAAACAAGCTTTTTACCTAACTGGTCTCCCCAGTGGCAAATTAAAGCAGCAATTGTACATCTGTGTCTCTGTTCCTCTCATCGTGGTTTAACTGACAGGAAGCAGAGAGTAAGATATGGCACACAAATGTCAAGCATTTCCTGCCTTCTCTGCTACATCTTTATGTCTTGTTTTATAAATAGTTCAATAGTTTGTATGAAAATATATCGAAGTACAGTAGCAGAAACATATAAATGGTGAGGAGTGTTTATGAAAACAGAGCCCACAGGAAAGGATTCCAGTGTTGGGATCTAAGATTCAATATGCATACAAAGACTCATTTATAGTCTTTTGAAGAAGTATTCTTAGGAGCAAACACCACACAAATTAAGATTTGAAAACCACATGACTGAGTAAAAAACCAAGTGTCTAAACAACAGGACAAGCCTCAAACTATTTTATCCAACTGTTCACATAAGTAACACTTGTCCACCTTGATATAAGGTGCCCCACACTCCTGCTATACCTATATTTAAAAAAAACTACCACAAAAAAAAAAAAAAGAAAGAAACCAAAACACAAAAAACCTTTAAGCAACTATCAGCAAAGCAGGACTGGTAACTTGCACCTTTGATCTTTGGTCATTTTTACTATGGCTTCTTATCAGCACCCTCCTGGATTAAAATTTGCACCCCCCCAGCCAAACTAGCTCTACTCCCTTCTCATTTCCTATATCCCAAACTTGGCTTATGTTATTTACTCGTATATATTCAACTATACACAAACCAAATAGAACTCTGTTCTCCATAGGTCAGTCCTGCCTCCTTAAGTCATGTTAAGCAAACTTCCAGTTAATTATAACTAAGGGGTGTTCACTTTTCATCATGCCAAGCCGCCTCCCAAACTAATAATCCTTAAGAATAAATTCAATTCATTACTCACATGATTCATATTCTGTATCATAAACTTGGGCAAAATGCAGCTATCTTATCCATTCATATTGGTCAATATTTACCTAAGCTATAACAAGCGCAAGCTGCCACAATCACAATTCCACCAGGGGATAGTGCTATTCCATTCTAGGTCAATGTCCAAAACGACTCTTCATATTTTACTATACATAAGTCCATCTTGAGCTTCCTGTGACCTCTCCTTCCTAAACAGAACTGAACATAAACCTAATAATCAGCTGTAAGCATGGTAGTAGGCTCCTGAAATAACATTTATTAAATGAGTGGCTTGGAAAAAACGATTTCATTTTTACCCAGTATTTTTCAACCAGAAGGATCTAGCTCATTCTTTATAGGAGTCTAAGAGTTATTAGTACCTTCCTAGCATTTCTTTAGTACATCTCTGCTCTCACTTGTAAATATATTAGATATATTGTCCCCACTATCTAGGGAATAAGGAGTAAGCGTTCCCTACACCATGAAGCAAGAATGAAGGAAATCATCCATTTCCTTATACATTGGCTCCCCTGCCCTATCCTCTGGCTCTGATGCATAGTGAAATAACCCTAAATGGGGACAGGGTCAGGAGGGAGTGGAGGGAGTGGAGGAGTCTCAGAGCAGCTGCAGAGAACCTAGCGTCCATCACCTACCCAACAATCAAACACAGTTAACGATGTCTAACTGTTCTGTTCTACCAAGGTCAGATAAGTGTTACATCTTCCTTTCAGTTTATTCTTAAGACTAACATGTTGTAAATTATCCTATAACAATATGCAAGTTTTTCTCTGATCTATTAGATCAAAAGATCAGACACAATGTCCAGTTTGCAATGTTCGCACCATGAAAACATTCTGAATAAAATGATTTACACAATCTTGTGTCTAAATACACAGTTTTTAAGTTGGCCTTCAAACTAAAACACACATAACATTAATTTGAATTAATTAATCAAACTTAAATATAAAATCTTCATGTTATTTTTCCTTATAATTTAGTATATACGTACATTTTGTGTAGTATTTTTTAAAACTTTATATACATAGCATATAGTATATATTCTTCCAGCATACTTTAACAAGTTTATCTAAGACATAAGATTCTGAATAAACACAATGGCTATCTGGAAAGGAATATTAAACATCAAACTCTCCCTAGAAATTGGTGCTTAGAAAAATGTTAAACCTTACTCAAGACAAGCCATGATTATTACTAGGCATCCATTATAACAAAGAGAAATATCTCAGATGCACAAAGCAGCCTGTCTTCAATGATGCCGCTTACCAAGTGTTCCTCCCTGCTGCAGACTACAGATAATACAGCTCAGGAACACCCTGTGTGGAGGAGGTCTTAGCAGGAAGCCCGAGGGGCTCAACTCAACAGTCTCCTTCTAACCTACTTATAACTCACTTTTAAAATTCAGGCTGAAGCTAAATAATATGGAGTAACTGAAAGCTCTTTCAATTAGGAACACAACAGGAAAAAGTAAACCAGAAAATGCCTGAAGAGGAATTGAGTCTACTGGAGGAACTTCATTTGATTCCACATATTATTATTATTATAATTATAAAGCATCTAAAAATGATTGATACCACTGCCAATTCCTTTTACTATTATTTAAAAATAAAGCTGCCGTACAAACACCCCTTAGCCTACTGGAGAAGAGTAACTGCCGCCTTCTGCCTTTCAACTTCCCTTTTCTTAATGACAAAGGCGTCCACTAAATGGAAGCACTGAGGCTCAGAACCAACACCCTCACTTTCTTGGAAGAATGATGAGTTCCTCATGAGAGGTGCCCCAAACAGGAAAATACTGTGCTATAAGCTTATATTTAACATGAACTTTAATAAAATTATATTTCTGCCATGTAATTGTGTGGCTATACCATCATTTACTTAATCGACCACTCATTTTGAGACATTTGTATTTCTAATGTTGCACTATTAACAGTAATTCACAAAATGTCATCCCCAGACCCACAAAGGACCCAGAGACCCTTTCAGGGGGCTCCCAAGATCACAACTCTTTGATCACAAGATCATAACAACGCCGAGGTATTATCTGGCTTTCCCACTGTGTTGACAATTGCACCAATGATGCAAAAGCAAAGACAGATGAAACTGTGAGTGCCTCAGCCCTGACCAAAGCTGTCCCTCAGGCCACTCAAGTCTACTCCTTGTCACTGGGCACTCACATTTTAGAAAGGCAGCTTCACTTAAGAATGTCTTTGAAGAAGAGTAAAGATGATTTATGTTCTTGAATCTCAACCATTAAATACGTATCTTTTTAATATTCTGATTGACAAAATGGGAAGTATGAGTGAAGCACGACTTCTGGCATAAATAGAAATAGCATTGTTGTCTTGAGAAAAAGCATTTATGCTAGTATTCTTTGATCTGTGAGGTAAACTAGATGCTGCTTTCATGAAATATTTTTACTTAAAAGAACTAATTATTATTCAGAATTGGATATCTGGCAGCAATTTTTCCAAAAATGAATACAGCAAGCCCATGACTTCAAGGTAAACAACCAAAAACATTTGTCACCAATTATAAAATGAAAGCTTTTAACTGAAAATCAGAATTTTGGAAAACTTGTATGTATCTGCCACTTTGACTCCACTGGCTTCTCAAAACACTTAAAAGGCTTTTCTGATGAGTCTGGTGTGATTTTGATATTATGTCAACATTTGGAATACCCAAATAACTCACACAAGATGTTACAAAATCTTGCTTAGGTTAAAAAAATCAATCCATTCAAAGTACAAGACAGACCACAAGGATTTTAATGTTCCAGGGGACAGAAAGTTCATTTATAGGTTTTCAAAATCTCATTGTACTGACCTTTAAAAAAAACTAGCATTTGTTGATGAGCTTTGGTGTAGTATCGAAGAATATCCAGAATTATCTCAATTGGCCATTAAAATACATCTACTTTTTGCAACTAGACATTTGTGTGAGGCTGAATGTTCTTCATATTCTTCAATAAAAGTAACATATTCCAACATATTTCATGCAGAAGTAGATATGAGAATATAGCTGTCTTCTGTGAAGTCAAAAATAAAAGATTTGCACCCTTCTCCGTTCAGCTTTTGTTTTGGAAAACATATTTGTCTTTTTTGTACTGTGTTTTGTTTTGTTTTTTTAAACAGGGTCCTGCTATGTTGCCCAGGTTGGACTTGAACTCCTGGGCTCAAGCAATCTTCCTCCCTCACCTTCTCAAGTAGCTGGACTATGGGCTTGGGTCACCATACCTGGCTCAAACTTATCTTTTATAAAAATAATTATGCTAATATGTAATGGGCTTATTATTTTTAAATAAATATATTAATTCATTCAAGTTTCTTTTTTAATTTCTAATAGTTAACATGAATCAAAGCTCTTTGGGAGCCTCAATTTTAATAGTATAAAGACAATATAAAGAGCATAAAGTTTGAAAAAAAAGTATAAGGTTTGAGAACTGCTGCACAATCACAACCAATGATTCAAATATCCTTTTAACTCAATCTTTGGTTCCATCCTTAAATTTTCTTCAGGATACCTATGAAGAACTGAATTCTATCAAAAGGCACGTAGATTTTCAAAGCATTTCATATAACAATGCCATCTGCCCTGCAGAAGATTTTTCCAGTTTCTACTGTTAGCAACAGAATACCTGCATAGACATTCAATGTCATTTGCAACAACCCACAATACTTGAGCTACTGTCAAACAAAGGGGGCTATTTCATTTTAATTTTCATTCCTTTGCTAGAAGGTTTAATATTTTAATTTTATATGTAATAATTTAATATTCTTCCCAATTTTAAAGAACTGGTTATTCTTTGTGGAAAGGGCTAGGAGATACAAGTAAATTAATGGCAAACATGATGGTCTATGATTTTTCTCATTGGGAAGAAGGAACTTCAATTTAATGTTCTTACGTTAGTTATTCTGGTTTAGAAAGCTCTTTTTTTTTTCACTTCAATTTAATAATGTAAAACTCTATTTAAGAATAATATTTACGTTACTGGTTGCCATAGCGCAGTTCTCAAACTTTTTGGTGTTAAGATCCCTTTATATTCTTTTTTTTTTTTTTTTTGAGATGGAGTTTCGCTCTTGTTACCCAGACTGGAGTGCAACGGCGAGATCTCGGCTCACTGCAAGCTCCACCTCCTGGGTTCAGGCAATTCTCCTGCCTCAGCCTCCTGAGTAGCTGGGATTACAGGCACATGCCACCATGCCCAGCTAATTTTTTTAATATTTTTAGTAGAGACGTGATTTCACCATGTTGACCAGGATGGTCGCAATCTCTTGACCTTGTGATCCACCCACCTCGGCCTCCCAAAGCCCTTTGTATTCTTAAAATTTATTGAGACCACAAAAAGCTTCTGTTTTCATAGGTCATATTTATCAATACATAAATTTTTACTTATAGGCTATTGTTATTTATTATATGCCCTTTAAAGGAGTCTTTTCTCAGAATAGCATATTGAAAAAAAACTCTATGAGATAATTGTTTTTTCCTTGGTAAAAAATAATGCTGTTAAATACCTATGTTTTGGGCCGAGCATGGGGGCTCATACCTGTAATCCCAACACTTTGGGAAGCCAAGGTAAGAGGATTGATTGAGCCCAGGAGTTTGAGACCAGCCTGGGCAACAGAACCAGACCTTGTATCTATCTATCTATCTATCTATCTATCTATCTATCTATCTATCGAAAGAAATAAAAGAAAGAAAAGGAAAGAAAGAAAGAAAGAACAGAAAGGAAGAAACTTGTGTGGCATAGCGATATGCACCTGTAATTCTACATAGGAGGCTGAGGCAGAGGATTGCTTGAGCCCAGGAGTTTGAGGCTATAGTGAGCTACGACTCTACCATTGTATTCCAGCCTAGGCGAGAGAGCTACACCCCTATCTTTAAAAAAAAAAAGCATACATATAGGTGTGGGGTGTATGTGTGTGAGGTGTGTGATACATGTGACCTACCAAGGTACACTTTCCTTGCCTTAGTAGATCACATGCAGCACACTGAAAACCACTATTTTATCTATAATTTTCTCTAATAGTTATATACATGATAATAAATGTTTAAATGGAAGCTAAGTAGTGGAATATATGCATATAATTTATGAAGTTTTTATATTTTGTTCATTGTTATATCCCAACATCAAGAATAATATGTAACAGAAAATAACTGTTGAATGAATCAATAATAAAACAGATCGAAAGATACATAATAAAAATTTAAGAGACCCCTGAACTACATGACTTTAAAGGAACCCTCAGACAAGGAAATCTTAAACTTCTATTTCCACTTGTTCTTTGCCCATGCCACTGCTTATACATACACTGTGGGAAATATTTCAGGAAAGAGAGCCAAGGGATAATGAAATTAAAAACCTGGGTTAAGATCTATGTTTTCACTTTTTATAGCAATTCCTGCATTTACATTGTTAAATTTTGAAAGCTTAACCTGAAGAGTATATATCTAGTTTATAACAACAACAACAAAAATCACTAAAGATGCAGGAATTGCTATTATTACAGTAAGAATTCTAAGGAAGCTACATGAAACACTGGTCAGGAAGCAACATGAAACGTTGACTATACCAATAAATCTTGTTAGATGCAACAATTTATTAGCTACTTAAAAGTTCATGGGTGTTAATACTATATTATTTTATGAATATTTTCATATTGAAATGTTTTCAAAAAATATTTGAATGGGGGATAATTCTAAAGATGAAACCTAACTAAATTACTTCTGGGTAACTAGAGCTCCAATTTGTTCAAATTGTTCATGGATCTCAATTGGAAATTACCATTTATCCATCCAGAAGTATGCCTAGATCTTAGTTACCTGGGACAGACGCACAGTTTTCTAACACTTACATCTCTAATCCCCTTCACTGAAAAAGGCACTTAACTTTTTTTTTTTTGATACAGGGTCTTACTTTGTTGCCCAGGCTGGAGCGCAGTGGCACAAACATGGCTCACTAAAGTCTTGACCTCCTGGGCTCAAGCTCCCCAAGTAGCTGGAACTACAGTCACGCACCACCATGCAGGGCTTAGTTTTGTATTTTTAGCAGAGACGGGGATTTCACCATATTTTGCAGACTGGTCTCAAACTCCTGGGCTCAATTGATCCACCTGCCTTGGCCTCCCAAAGTGCTGGGGTTACAGGCTTGAGCCACCGTGCTTGGCCACATTTTTAACTGATGCAGAGTTTTTGTTTTTTTGAGATAGGAGGGTCTCACTGTGTTGCCCAGATCTCAAACTTCTGGGCTCATGCATTCTTTCCACCTCAAGTTCCCAAGTAGCTGGGACTACAGGTGCATGTCAGTGCCCCTGGTTCAGATGCAAAGTTTATTTACAACTTTTTTTAAAAGTCAACTTTTACTACCAAATTAAACATTATTTCTCAAGATACCTATAAATGTGGGGTAAAAATAAACTATGGCTTACAGATAATAATGTATTATGAGGCTGGGCGTGTAGCTCACACTTGTAACCCCAGCACTTTGGGAGGCCGAGGTGGGCAGATCACTTGAGGTCAGGAGTTCAAGACCGGCCCGGCCAACAAGGCAAAACCATCTCTACTAAAAAAATACAAAAATAAATTAGCTGGGGGCAATAGTGGGCACCTATAATCCCAGCTACTGAGGAGGCTGAGGCAGGAGAATTGCTTGAACCTGGGAGCCGGAGGTTGCAGTGAGGCGAGATTGTGCCACTGCACTCAGCCTGGGTGACAGAGCAAGACTCCATCTCAAAATAAAAAAAGTATTATTAAACAGTTCCACCAAAGAGGAAAAAGAGAATACATTCGTCTATATACCACCTAGCTTTACATTAATATTTTGCCATAGTTTGTTTACATTTTTTTTAAAGAAAAAAAGGTCATCTACAGTTAAAATCTCCAATATCCCTCTCCAGTCTCGTTTTATCCCTTGTTTGACTGTTCTAAGTTTGCTTTTCTTTTCTTCTGTTTTTTTTTTTTTTTTTTTTTTAAGAGACAGATTCTTGTTCTGTTACCCAGGCTGAAGTACAGTTGTACAATCATATTTCACTGCAGCCTTAACTCCTGGGCTCAAGCAATCCTCCTGCCTCAGCTTATCGAGTAGCTGAATTACAGGAATATGATGATACCACGCCTGGAAAATTTTAAAAAAAAATTTTTTTCTACTTGTAGAGACAAGGTCTTGCTGTGTTACCCAGGCTGGTCTCAAATTCCTGGCCTCAAGTGATCCTCCCACTTAGGCTCTCCAAAGTGCTCAAATTATAGGCATAAGTTACAGTACCCACTCCTCAACTATTCTAAAATTGATTTCTTCCCTGTTACATATATTTACAACTTTACTACATATGTATCAATATGGCAGGATTGCTTTTATATGCATAATTGGGAACAGGTATTTATTCTATTAAATTTTTTTTATTGAAAATTATGTTTGAAATAACTGAACTCTAGTTAATAAATGACAAGCATACTGAACTGCTTTCGGGGTCAAATATATTGATGACTATAGCTTACTCTGAAATGCATCAACTGCCTATCTGTTTAGGGTCCTGGAGGATTTACACCCCAAGAGAATACACCACAGAAAGATTATGAATGGGTAAAAGTCATCACTGGCAGCTGTCTGTTCCTAGGAAAGATAATGAGGAACTCTAAATTACATTAAACTATCCATCCTCTCCATTCTCACTGCAAGGCCTTCACATCCCTCTCTGTGAAGATACTGGCCCTAGAGAACTTCTAAATTTAGGTTCCAGGGAACCATGCACAAATGTTCTCAAGCTGAAAATAATCTAATGCCATCAACGAGAGAGAATAAATACATTATGGTATAGACAAACAACGGAATACTATATTGCAAGGAAAAGTAAGATAAACCATGGAGCTGAATGAAAGAAGAAAAGTCACTACAGACTATATGGTGTGATTCATGTGTTTAAAGTTCAAAGAGGTAAAACTATAAAGAAAAGATTATCACGAAAGTCAGGATAGTAGTTATTTTTTAAAGGAAACAAATATGAATAGGAGTGGGGGCTTTCTAGAGTAATAGACATACTCTATATTTCTTAACCTGGGTTGTTTCTCAAGATACTTATAAATGTGGGGCAACACAGTTTAAATAAAATTATAAAATGTTTATCCATTGTAACACTTTATAATTTTATTTAAGCTCTATATGTTTTATATATTCTCCTACATGCACATTTCATTTTTAAAGAAAAAAAGAATGAATTGCCCCATTACAATACTAAACTTCCATTCGGTATTTTGATATAAAAAATAAGATGTACATAAATTATTAACAGACACTTTTCAAAAGAAGACATATATGAGGCCAACAAAAATATGAAAAAATGCTCATCATCACTGGTCATTAGAGAAATGCAATTCAAAACCACATTGAGATACCATCCCATGCCAGTTAGAATGGCGATCATTAAAAAATCTAGAGACAGATGCTGGAGAGGATGTAGAGAAATAGGAGCACTCTTACACAATTGGTGGGAGTGTAAATTAGTTAAACCATTGTGGAAGACAGTATGGCGATTTCTCAAGGATCTAGAAATAGAAATTCCATTTGAACCAGCAATCCCATTACTGGGTATATATCCAAAGGACTATAAACTGTTCTACTATAAAGACACATGTACACATATGTTCACTGCAGCCCCGTGTTCCCTGTGTACAATAGCAAAGACCTGGAACCAACCCAAATGCCCATCAATGACAGACTGGACAAAAAAAAAAAAAATGTGACACACACACACCATGGAATACTGTGCAGCCATAAAAAATGCTGAGTTCGTGTCCTTTGTAGGGACTTGGATGAATCTGGAAACCATCATTCTCAGCTAACTGATACAAGAACAGAAAACTAAACACTGCATGTTCTCACTCATAGGTAGGTGTTGAACAATGAAAACACATGGGTTCAGGGAAAGAAGCATCACACACTGGGGGCAATTGTGGGGGCTGAGGGGGACAGTGGGGGGTGGGGAGGGATAAAATGGGGAGAAATGCCAGATATAGTCAAAGGGGAAATAGAGGCAGCAAACCACCTGGTTAGGTATGCACCTATGCAACAACCCTGCATGACCTGTACATGTACCCCAGAACCTAAAGTAAAATAAAAAATAAAAATAAAAATGAAAATAAGATGTACATAAATTATTAAATCAATACCTCTTTTAATTATCAAATTTATAGTTTTTCTATTTATAGGATGTTTTCTAAACCCAGAAACTAATTTTCTTCAATTATATTTAGATTTTTAAGATTGCACCATGTAACAGCAAACATAACGATCACTCTATGACAGGGCATCTATTAATATTGCAGTGTGTAAAGTCATACTGGTGCCTGCTACTTTGAAGAGCTTCTAATATACAGAGTAGAACACAGGACAAGGACAAATCACATGAAAACACAAAAAATAAAAACTACTTCTCTAAGTGGTTACCTTTGGGCAGAAGGACTGAGAGTGAGAAGAGGTAGAGGAGGGAGGCTGCTTTTCCTTATAGACCTATCAATTAATTTTGAATGGTGTGCATATACCACTTTGATAACTTTTTATTATTATTATTATTATTTTTTTTTTTTTTTTGAGACGGAGTTTCGCTCTTGTTACCCAGGCTGGAGTGCAATGGCGCGATCTCAGCTCACCGCAACCTCCGCCTCCTGGGTTCAGGCAATTCTCCAGACTCAGCCTCCCGAGTAGCTGGGATTAGAGGCGTGTGCCACCATGCCCAGATAATATTTTGTATTTTTTAGTAGACAGGGGGTTTCACCATGGTGACCAGGATGGTCCCGATCTCTTGACCTTGTGATCCACCCGCCTTGGCCTCCCAAAGTGCTGGGATTACAGGCTTGAGCCACCGCGCCCGGCCCCCTGATAACTTTTTAATATAAAAATTGTTAAACCAATCTTCATATAAACTATAAAAAGCAAGAGAGCTCTGACTATAAGAATATTAATACCTGGAAGTGAAGGAATCAAAACGTTTCTGCATAGAAAATATACATCCAAAGCAAATAGCACACAATGAGTTATTTTTTCTCATATAATAACTTAGGGTGCTCAGAACCACGACCAGAAAAGACATTTGTAGTACTGCTCAACAGCCATTTTTATTATAGTATACAGCTCATTTGACAAGACACAAAATACTCTTTTGTAGGTTCTCCACACTAATGGAAAAAAGATTGTTCAGATAGTTGAAAACTGTCCTAATCACTGTAGCTGACTCAATAATCTTACTAATTTAATTTCAACCATTTATATGAAGCAGCTCCTAAGTAAAGGAACAAAATATTCTGGCTAATTTTTTTTTTTTGGAGATGGAGTCTCGCTCTTGTTGCCCAGGTTGGAGTGCAGTGGCGAGATCTCAGCTAACTGCAACCCCCACCTCCTGGGTTCAAGCAATTCTCCTGCCTCAGTCTCCTGAGTAGCTGGGATACAGGCATGCACCACCATGCCTAGCTAATTTTTGTATTTTTTTAAAATAGAGACAGAATTTCTCCATGTTGGTTAGGCTGGTCTGGAACTCCTGATCTCACGTGATCAGCCCACCTTGGCCTCCCAAAGTGCTGGGATTACAGGCATGAACCACCGTGCCTGGCCTATTCCAGCTAACTGATGGAAGCAGTGATTATCTTCAAACCGTTCAACTGAGGGGACTTCTCTTCCCATTTATACAAGTCAGTGAATACCTAACGATGTCCCATTAGATGAGATGTAATATTAGGCAAAACTTACAAATATGCAATCAATGATGCAGTTACATATCTGAAGAAGCTTTAAAAATCATATCCAAGCATTATATGGTTAAAAAAGTTACGTCCTCCCTGACTTAAACAAGTATATACTATCACACTGGTCTTTAAGTCCCTGCCCCCCGCCAACAAAAAAAAAAAAAACAAAAGAAAAATATTACAAATAATAAATAGTGTATGTCTCAAGAGAGAAGAGCTTTCAAAAGACTGTAAATGCCACCCTAAATCGGTAAGGGGATGTTTTTCCTAGAGCCCCAGGAATAAGGGGATGAAGAGGGAAGCCAAGAAGCAACAAATGGAAGCAAAACAACATTGAAAGAGTTCGCTGAGAAATAAAAATGGGTTAATTACATTAAAAAACAAAAATTACTTTATTGTGGTCAATACAGCAGTACGTTGGGGAGTGGATCAGAGAAAAAGCAAGCAGGCCAGCCCTAGAGCTGAACAACACATAGCACACAAAAAAATGGACTAGAGAAAGGGATAACTGGGATGGGAAAGGGGCCCAACTGGGTTCTAATACTGAGAATAAAGTACCCTAGTTGCTTTCCTTCCTTACTAGTGGCTATGGGCTTCAAAAGAGCATTGATGCCTAAAACTTCCCAATATTTAAATGCAAAATAACAAATTTCTCTTCATAGCCTTAAACCTGTAAACTCTCTTTCTCAAAGTGTGGCGTCTAAGCACCTGCTTCCTAATCATCTAGGGTACACAGTAAAAAAATGCTGATTGTTTAAGCAAACCCTAGACCTAATGAATCGGAATTTCTGAGTTAAAACTGGATGACCCTTTGTGAAACCAAAGGCTGACGACTACAGCTTTAAAGGTAATACTATCACATAAATGTTATTTTTTTCTTTGAATGGCTACAACACGCAGACACCAGTCAGAGATTAAGCTGAAAGCCACACACTTTTCAAAGATGTGTGATCTTTGGCTGGGTGCAGTGGCTCATGCCTGTAATCCCAGCACTTTGGGAGGCTGAAGTGGGTGGATCATGAGGTCAGGAGTTCAAGACCAGCCTGACCAACATGAAGAAACCCCATGTTGGTTTTGTAATTTTGTAAAAATACAAAATTAGTTGGGTGTGGTGGCACACGCCTGTAATCCCAACTACTTGGGAGGCTAAGGCAGGAGAATTGCTAGGACCTGGGAGGCAGAGATTGCAGTGAGCTGAGATCATGCCATTGCACTCCAGCCTGGGCAACAGGGGCAAAACTCCATCTCAGAAAAAAAAAAGATGTGCATCTTTAACTTCAGAAATATGGCTAACTGAATTTGTCATATAAGATGGCTAAAAAGAATAGCCAAAGGTTTAATACAGAAAATAATACCTGTCTACTTATATGTGCTTGGTACTTTGTCAAAGGTTGAAAAAGACAGAAAAACAGAACAAAACCTCTCTTCTCTCAAACAGTTTATATTCTTATTTCTTATTGATGAAGACACTCTTCTTAACATAGATTAATGCTATTCAACCTTCAACATTCATCACTCCTTCAAGATAAACTCTCCTGAATATTGTAAGTTTCTGCCATCTTTTATCTCTAGGCAATCTGAACCTGAATTTACTTAGTCAGTGATTGGTTCTATTTTTTACTTACTTCACTTGATAACAAGCTCTGTTTTCCCAACAAGAATTTAAGTTTATGAGGATAAAGCCCATGTTTCTAGCCTTTATTGCTTTTTGTTGCTTAGGACAATGATGGCCACACTGTGGAGGATTTTATATTGAACCAAGTTAGGGCACTCAGAAATTTTGGAGATTCAGCAGTTATGCATAAAGTAATTTAAAAAATCCAAATATCAAGGCCGGGTGCGGTGGCTCACGCCTATAATCCCAGCACTTTGGGAGGCCGAGGAGGGTGGATCACAAGGTCAAGAGATGGAGACCATCCTGGTCAACATGGTGAAACCCCATCTCTACTAAAAATACAAAAATTAGCTGGGCATGGTGGCGCGTGCCTGTAATCCCAGCTACGCAGGAGGCTGAGGCAGGAGAATTGCCTGAACCCAGGAGACGGAGGTTGCGGTGAGCCGAGATCGCGCCATTGCACTCCAGCCTGGGTAACAAGAGCAAAACTCAGTTTCAAAAAAAAAAAAAAAATCCAAATATCAGACCTAGAAAATTTCCAACCATGCCAGTAAAATACACCAAAAATTTAACAGACAAAAAATTTTGTATATACCAACAATTCTCTTCTCTGAAAGGAGGAGGAAAAGATATGACAAAGACAAATAAAATGAGATTATTACCTTCTAGTAAGGTCAAATTTAAGGTAATAATGTTAAAGCTTAGATACCTCTGGATTTTGTAAATTCACATGCAAAGTTTTACATACACATACTTTAGTACAACAAGGTATCACATTAAACAGTATTTGCCCTCCTAAAATAATGAGGAAAAACTAAAGCAGAAATAAAACTGTCTTTGTATCTAGAAGCTCAAATTAAATTCCCAACTCCATCTAAAGCCATCTTAAATAAGCAATGTCGTGAACAAAAAAATTCTAACAGTGAAAAACAAAAAGTTGTAGAAATAAAATGAATGCCTCATCTTTCTGATGAAAAAGAAAACTAACTACATTTTCAAAATCATGGGTTGATCCATTTGGTTGCAACTTATCACCAAGATTATCACCAAACATCTTAATTAAGGTTTTATTTACCCTTAAGGAAATACAGAGCATTTCAAACAAAGCAACACTTGTGGACTGGCACAAGCAGTTCCAGACTGGGAAGCCCAGTCATGGAGGTACTGTGTGACCTAGAGAAAATCAGGACCTCTGTGGGCCACTGTTCCTTCACCTATAAAAGTAAGGTAGTTGGACAATCTTCAGTCACTTTCAGCGTTAAAATTCTATAAATCGGTAATCCTAAATTTAATTCTGATGACTCAGTTCAAACTTACATTCAACCTTAGAGAAGGAAAAAAGTGGGGAGGCAATGACTTAATAAGTTTTTCTGGTCTTTTCTTGCTTCTCTCCTTTTTTCCCCCCTTTTCCCTTCCCTTGAAGCCCCACTTCACTCTTTATCACATAAGAAAATATATAAACAATATCTATTTTATTTAAAGTGCACCAGCTTCTTAATTTTAAGAAACCGAATTCCTCTACTTCTCTTTATTAAATAAGATCTTAATTATGCCGCTTATTTGAGTGCCTCTTAATTTTTCTCTTACGGATCACCACCTTTAAAAATTAAAAAAAAAAAAAAATAGAAAAGTCTTCATTAGATTTTTCACACAGACCAGACTACAAGTAAATACAGCCTTTGCTTACTCAAAGGCTGACTAAACCAGCAATATGCAAACAAAGATGATAGCAAATGGCTCAGCTGAATTGGTAAAATGTCCGCTGTGCCCTTCTCCTGAGACCGCAAAATTGAGATCTGTTAATATCAACAATCCTTACAAAAGAGTCAGAAATAATAACTGATTGCCTATCTTCCCTTTAATATGACAGACCTTCAAGCAATTAGAAAGTGTACAGCAAATTCTCAAAAAACTAGCTAAATATTATTTTGATCAGCAAGAAATGATATGGCAAGTTTTATATCCAAAAACCTTATTTTTTGGAATCATTGCAGATTCTAATTTTATCTTCATAAATATGTTTCAGAAGTAAAATACTACTGCACTCAGCTTTACAGAAAGCCTAGAACTTTAAGGCACACCAGGATGTATACTCGCCAGCCAAAATCTCATAACTACAATGACAAGTACTTCAGGTAAAGACTGAGCAATCTTTTCATTTACAGAAGGTTTTTAATCAAAGCAAGCAAATTTTAAGAACAGTAATACAGAAGGAAGGCCAATACTCTTCACTTTTTCTTTTTACACAAAATTGAAATAACTATGTTTCCTTACAAGACAGCTTTACTTCTAAGGTTGTTACTCAGAACAAGTTTCTAGTGTGAATTATAATGAATCATTCTAGTCTTTCTTCCTTTCTATTTAATATGCACTTTTACTTGTTATCTAAATAATCTAACATTCACTTTTCCTTATTATCTAAATCACCATTCATTTTACTTAAACTTCTATTTGGTTTCCAAAATGAAATGTTTAATACAATTTCATTAACTTTAAAAAACCGAGAGAGAGAGAAAAACCAACCGAATAGCCAATGAGCAACAGCTATGACTGAGTTGTCCCAAAACTTCACCCTGAGCTAAAATGCCAAAACAAAGCCACTGCCCCCAGACTTTTAACATCCATATCACACAGAGATAATACGGTTTACTTCATTGTAACTTCAACTACCCCCAAAAATACAATTAGATTTTTTAAAATTAAAATTTGACCTTAGTCTGCTATGTGGTATTAAAAAAATAAAACAAAACAAAAAAACACCTCTTTTATTCTTAAATTACACAGAAAAGAAAAAATCAAACAAGGCATACAAAATGCTTTAACAAGAAGATCTAAAACTTTCCAGAATTTCAGTGCTTTGTTTCCCCCTAGTAATTAAGTTCAATCAGGCATGTGACTGACTGCACACATTTTATCAGAGAGTTAAACAACACATTCAGCCATGTTCTTTCACAGGTAAGAACGACCCTCTGTTTATCAGAAGAAACAGCCAGAAGCAAACATACAAAATCATAACAAGTTACCTTCAAGTATTCTTTCTCTGTAGATATCACCTTTTGGGCTTGAGAATAAAAAGCAACCCGACAAGTTTTAGTTGTTAAAATGGCTCCTGTAGATTGGGGAAGTGGTGTCTGTGCTTCAGCTTATGAGTCATACATGAAACCAAGTGTTTCGAAGGGAGGCACGCCCATGTTGCTGTGGACCCAATTATTCTGCTAGGTCAAACATGCAAATCTGTAGGTAAAAACGGTATAGGAAAGTGGGGAAGACTGAAGGAGCCAGATCTACCTTGATTACACCATTACTAAGCTCGTATTAATTGTGATAATTTAAAACTAACAATAAAACAGAGTAAGAATCTACAAGGGAGCAAAATTAAAAACCATATACTGTTTTAAAATATAAAAATCTCAATTTTTAAAAGTTATTTTGCTATATCAAATAAAACTGTGAAAGGAAAAAAGTATGAGAGGGGATGGAAGGGAGATGGCAAACTGTGATTCTTAATGTAACAATGGACTAGTGAGTGTAATCTGGCTACTCATTAACCCTTATAGGAAAGAGATATATTGCTATGTAATCTGGAAAGGCTCAGCAAACTACAAAGTCAGATGCAAATCTGTAAGTTTACCAAACAGATAAAATCCACTAGAAAATTCAAAGTTCAGTGGAAAAGTAAGTGTGAATTAAACTGGTTTACAGCATTTTTTAAAACCCCAATGTTAGACAGGAATTTAAAGTCCGACAAAGCAAAATGATTCTAAATAAACTGCAAGCTTGATAAAGCCCTTTAAAAAAATTATCAGTATGGTCACAGTTCGTAACTCTATTACTTCCAAATGAGAGCCAGTTTGATTTACCTTTCAAGCCAAATTTTCCATGTGTCTTTCAAGCCTCTCTTGTGCCAGGCAACCTGCTACAGCTCCACTGCACTTGCACAAGGCCAGTCTAAGGGGCCAACAACTGTGTCCAGTGAAGCTCTGCCTTCCAAGTCACAATACATCAGACAAAGAGCCCGAGCCACTGAAATATTACTATGTAGTACTATACCTACTTATCCTGGTCTCTGGATGAATACTTACTAATTTATTCTAAGAGCTTAATCAAAATGGTTTGAAAGCACTAAGTATTCCAAAGCGCTTGAAATGATGAATGCGACTTAATACACAGCCTTCATCCTAGTATCTTACAAAAAGTACACAGGATTTAGCCAGGTTTTCTCCCTTTAGTTAATTAGTTGGGTGTTTATTCTGGCTTACCAGAGGCATGGATGAGAGCACAAGCTGTCACTGACTTAGGAACTTTACAAACTACCGCAAAACAGCAATGATTGTGAAATGACTTTCTGCCCATTCAGTGTCTATTTATTCCTTACGCTGAACATTGCTTGGTTTATCTTTTTACTGAAAAATAATCTCCATGGTTTTACAAACAGTTAATTAAAAATTTGTTAAAAAGAAATACAGATTACGTTTTCTCCTGTCAGATGTCATATTTAGCTTACTTTAGCTCATTTACAAAAAATGACTATTCCGAGCCCATGCACCAAGAAACAGGTCCTCTCAGCAGTCATGGGACATTCACTTGTTCACTGGAAAGTTCCCCCCAAGTAATTTTCCATATCTGAAATTTACTTTAGAAAATATTAATGTAAACCTAATAATTTACCTTCTTTTGGCTAATTAGAAATAAAAATTGTGACAGGTAAAAGAGGGCAACAGTATTATAAAAGGTGAAAGAGCTGATGACATGACAAAAAAAAAAAACACCTTACAAAACTAAAAATAGCCGGGCGCAGTGGCTCAAGCCTGTAATCCCAGCACTTTAGGAGGCTGAGGCGGATGAATCACGAGGTCAAGAGATCGAGACCATCCTGCTCAACATGGTGAAACCCCGTCTCTACTAAAAGTACAAAAAAAAAAAAAAAATTAGCTGGGCATGGTGGTGCGTGCCTATAATTCCAGCTACTCAGGAGGCTGAGGCAGGAGAATTGCCTGAACCCAGGAGGCAAAGGTTGCGGTGAGCCGAGATGGCGCCATTGCACTCCAGCCTGAGTACCAAGAGCAAAACTCGGTGTCCAAAAAAAAAAAACCTAAAAATAAATACAACTTTAAAAGTACTCAGATCTGCAGCCATTATGTAAGGTCAGTAAGTTGCAATATATTGCTTAAGTATATCACCATACACTAAGTGTCTCCAAGTCAGCATTAGTGTAAGACAGGACTTCAAAAGACAAAGTGAGTAACATTAAATGTGTGAGATGTTTTATGAAGAACAGATACCTAAAAGGATAAGCTTCTGCTATTCAGAAAATCCATTTATATAAAGCACCTCATTACTTAATAATGGCAAGTATTCCAAACATAATTTAAACGAAGTACTCCGGTCACCAGTAATGTGAAAAGATTTAAACGGGAAATAATTACACCTCTTCAAAAGAAACAAATATCTTAGCTATTCCTAAGGAGATGACTCCAGAGTTGTCATTACAATATATTATCCCTTTGCTCAGGGGTGTCCCCATTAGCATTATTCTATCACCTACAGGAACTGGAACCTCTTCCATTCACAGCCCTCAGAAGTCAATCTCTGCATATGAGAGTATCAAAAGCAAAAAAAAAAAAAAAAAAAAAAAAGCAAACAGTTTGGCACAGGTTCTAATCAATCTACTTGGGTTCAAATCCCAGCTCTGCTACCTATTAACTTCATAATCATGGGCAATTACTTAACAACCCTGCATTGTAACTTATTTATCTATAGTTTAACCTAATAGAATTTACCACACAGATTATGAGGATTAAAATAAGTCCACATACTGCTATCCAGACTACAAAAAGCACTTTCACAACTCAAAAATAGGAAAACAACCAGTTTTTTAAACGGTCAAATCCGAATAGACACTTCACAAAAGAAGTAATACAGATGGCAAAAAAAGTACATGAAAAGACATCAACATCAATACTCAATAGGGAAATGCAAATTAATGTGACAATAATATAGTGAAACAAACAAATAAAAAACACCAATAATACCAAGTGTTGATGAGGACACAGAGCAACTACAACTCTCACACATTACTGGTGGGAATGTCAAAGTTTAGCCACTTTAGAAGATAGTTTAGCAGTTTCTATAAACATACACTTATCACATGATCCAGTAATCCCGTTCCCAGGCATTTACCCAAGAGCAATGAAGATACATGACTATTTTAAAACTTCTATGCAAATATATATAGTTTTATTCATTCACCAAACATTGAAAACCCAAGTAATGTCTACCAATGGGTGCATGGATAAATCCATATAATGGAATGCTATGGCATATTCATATAATGGAATGCTACTCAGCAACAAAAAAGGTCTGAACTTCTGATATATATGACAACATGGATGAGCCTAAAAGCATTAGCTGAACAAAATAAGAGAGACTCTGTGACTTCATATGATTCCATTTATGTGACATAATGGAAAAGGCAAAACAAAAGGCACAGAAATCCTATCAGTTCTGAGGGGAGGGGGCTGACTACAAAGAAGACAAGGAACTGTTCAGGGTGACAGAAACATTCCGTATCTTGATTGTGGTACTGGTATATGACTTACCTAAGTTGTCAAAATTCATGGAGCTATAAAACTAAATAGGGCGAATTGTACTGTATATAAACCATACCTCAATAAACCTGACTTTAAAAAAAAGAAATCCAGGCCAGGAGCTGTGGCTCATGCCTGTAATCCCAGCACTTTGGGAGGCTGAGGTGGGTGGATCACTGAAGGCCAGGAGTTTGAGACCAAGCTGGCCAACATGGTGAAACCCTGTCTCTACTAAAAATACAGAAATTAGCTGGATGTGATTGTAGACACATGTAATCTCAGCTACTTGGGAGGCGGAGGCAGGAGAACCGCTTGAACATGGGAGGCAGAGGATGCACTGAGCCAAGATTGTGCTACTGCACTCCAGCTTGGGTGACTGAGAAGACTCCATTAAAAAAAAAAAGAAAGAAAGAAAGGAAAGGAAAGGAAGGGAGGGAGTAGGCAAGAAAGAGAGAGAGAAAGAGAAAGAAGAGAGAAAGAAAAAGAAAGGAAGGAAGGAGGGAGGGAGGGAGTCAATCTAGTTCAGGTATATGAAATACACTTACGTACTGTGGGTATGTTTATTTCTAAAATTAGATATGGATCAAGTCAGTATATACCTTAGTATAAAGCTTTCATGTGTGTGGAACTGTCAACATGTATATGTGAACTACTAGCTGAGAGAGACTGAGTCAACTGAATTTTTTAAATGCCAACTAAATTTCAGATATTATTTATTTCCTCCACTAAAACATAATTTATGAAAAGAATTTATTGTGTAAGCTGGGGCTCATTTTTCCTTTTTATTGTTACCTCTTTTCTTTGAACTCAAATCTGAAAACTTCTAGTACAAAAATACAAAATATTCTAATTTCCATATCTAGGAAACTTGGGCTACAAGAGCTTCATTTGAATCCATCCCATAGGCTGGGAGCTAACACGCTATCACTATCAGAGATGGGGGAAAAAAGATCACACCATTAAAATGACAAATGACCAAAATCAACGTTCTCCATTATTTAAATATAAAAATAAAATTTAAAAGACTGAGATTGTTGCAAATCTTTCAATCACAAAGAATTCATTTTGTTGATGGTAATGCCTCGAAAAAGTGCAATCCCAGGTTCCAAGAATTGTGTAGAATTTCTAAATGTGAGCTTAAATGTAAAACATATTTTCTATTTTCTATCACTAGCTTTTTTAAACCAAATCCTCCTTCCCGCTTCTGCACAGACAGGTAACTACGTGGTACCTTTTACCATTCATAAAAAGCAGGCCTCTTAGACAAGAGTCTATGTATTTTCAGGGTCTTATCAAAGGCAAAAGGGGCCATGGCTTCTGTCTGCACTATATTTTCATCACCTAGGACAGGGTCCAAAACTCAGCAGAAACTCGGAGACACGAATGAGCAACTTTCCTGAAACTGCTCATGAGGGGAAAAATATATTATC